AATAAAAGGTTGTTTGGGAAGTGCCATATTAGCTCACTTTTTTATCTTAGTATTTTTTTTTGGGTCACATCACATCTCTAATTTCTATACATATTTTCATAAAAAGTAAAAAAGTATACTTAATTATTTTTTAAGTCACATCACCTCTAATTTCTACACATATTTTCGTAAAAAGTAAAAAAGTATACTTAATTATTTTTTAAGTCACATCACATCTCTACTTTTCTGTAGATATTTTTGTAAAAAGTAAAAAAAAAATACTTATTTAGCACTTTCCAAACTACCACTAATGTCACAATCCAAACCCGCCCCTGTAGGTTTAGCATCGTAACCTGCCAATAATCTTTGAATTACCCAAGGCCTCTAAACAAAACAACATATGATTAGGGGCTGCGGAAGCAGATATATAAAATTATACATAATCCATCGAGTTGCATAGACATACATGAGACATATAATCTTAATTTTATAAGCATACATATGACGTCATGATGGTATAGTATTTACACGTCATCTCATGTACATATAAACAGAAACTTTCTTCGTAAACCAAAATAAATAAAGTCTTAAACATTCACAAAACATTGCCACAAGACTTGACTTAATCCGAAACGTCCTCAGGAGGCACAAAAGGTGGCTGACAAACACAAAATTCTTCAAGTAACATCTTAAGCCTAGTCACGAGCCTGCTCACCTACATACATAATAAATAAATAGTGAGTAGGAGCCTAGTGAATAATAACAAAGTAAAGGGTTAAATGAATGATGTCCCAAAACCAGTTTAGAAGTTAGAGTTCACATCAAGATAGATTCATATTCGTATTCTTATTCAGAGCATATATAGAAATCAAAGTTCATGCTTAATTGTCCTTGGTACATCCGTTAGCGCTAACAGATTACATATAGAGTATCAAAGATCGTACTTGTCAATTCTATAGAGGAACCTCCGGCCAGGTATGGATAACTTGTCAGTTCCATAAAGGAACCTCTAGTTGGATGCAGATAACTTGTCAATTCCATAAAGGAACCTCCGGACTGGGAACAGATAACTTGTCAGTTCCATAAACGAATCTCCAGCCGGGTGCAAATAACTTATAAATTCCATAAAGGAACCTCCGATCCAGGTATAGCTAGCATACTTGAACCACAAAATTAATGCCACAAATATTTGTCAAAATTGGACAATCATTCATTATACAGAACATAACATTACATAATACAGATCTTATTCCATATATAGAAAATACATAAAGTTGAACATAGCTTTACAAAGCTATTACTCACAAATAACAGATGGCTCCAAGAAAACGAATAGAGTAGGCAATTTAGATATCTTGTGGCGCGTGACCTTTACAGATACAGAATGAATACGTACAGAATTACACACTCGGAAATATTAACTTGCTTCTTTATTATTTTAGTGTGTTTCTACTTTTTATCCTCATTATTGTGTCTTAATCTTGGCCTAGGAATACTTATGATGCAATAAAGATGCAAAAATGCATTTGAAAACACTTGGTAAAAAATGCAGGAAATAGGGGTCTCGCTCGAGCGCAACTTTCTTCGCTTGAGGAGACATGAAAAATGTGAGTGGTCTCGAGCGCAAATTCCTTCACTTGAGTGGTCCGTAAACTTTGCAAAAGTACTGGTTGCTCGACTTTTTCGACACTCGCTTGACGCTCGCTCGAGCGTGAGAGTCAGGTCCTCACTTGAGCGTGAGAGTCAGGTCCTCACTCGAGTGCAATTCTTGTCGCTCGAGTGGTTTGCAAAACATATAAACTTCTAGGAACATGCATTTCACGCTCGAGCAAACTTCAGGTCGTTCGAGCGGAAGTGCAAGATCATAGAGCGGTCACTCGAGCAGAGAATTCGTCGCTTGGGTAGAGAAGCAGAATCTGGAATTTCCAAATTGTTGTGCCCAGTGCAAAACTCAATTTCAAAGCTGTAAATCATGGTCTTTTAGGCCAAAAACTTAAGGAAATTTATATAAACTTGGAAAACATAGTGAATTAAAGATCATTCCTTGAAACCAAGGCCCAAAAGTATGTGAATTGCTCAAAACCAACTTACAAGTTTTCAAAATATGACATGCATGCAAAGTTATGCTCTTCAATCATCCATACCATGTTCAATTTAAGTGTTTAGTACAAAACCAAGTTGAATGATGAAATCATAGCTAAGGTAAGGTCATGCATGCGAAGGTTCTTGCTTAAACAACTTCAAAACTTCATGATATGCACATGCATGCAATGATATGATCTATATTCTTCATTCTAGCTCAATTTCTCATGTAATTCACTCAATTCTCTTGAATCCATGGTATAAGCATCAAAATTATACAATCCAAAGGTTGAATTCCTACCTCAAGCTTGAATTCTCAAGTATAGAAGTGAAATCCTTGAAGTTCCTTCCAATTCCTCCAAGTCTCTAGCAATCACTCTACAATTGAGCTCAAGTTTCCTCCTTTCTCACTCTCACACGTTTTTGTCTTCAAAGATGAGGGATTGAGAGTGCAAAAATGTACAAATGGTGTAGAGAGTGGCCTTATATAGGTTCATTACATTGACTTAATTAATCTTGGCTTAAACTAAGTAAATGAGCATTAATTAATCTAATTATTTCGTTCTGAATCGAATTTCAATTAAACTTACCATAATATTCTAAAAATTCTAACTAACACATAATTCAAGTCAGTTTCGCGATTGGATGCTGATAAGGTTTTCAATTCATAGTACAAAATAAAAACAGAAACAAATATTCCTACGATAGATAGATAGAAACACAAATAATGCAACACTTATGCAATGAAGCTAGAATTCCATCCTAATTACTTATTAGTATCCTTAATCATGGTTTAATGGTTAAGCATGGATCGGGTTGTTACAACTAAGTTGATATTAAAAAAATTTACTTTTTATAATGGCATAAATAATTTAAATATGATTTTTTTATAAATTGTTTTTAATTTAAAAATTACAATAACATATTAAATAGAATAAAAATAAATTTCTTACAAAATAAAAGTATTTGAATAAAAAAAGGTAAGAAGAAAATTTAATATGATATTTTCATTTAATTTGAAAATAATTTTAGATGAATAATAAATTATCACCTATAACTCTCTGTTTTTTTTAAATAAAAAAAGTTTAACGAACTATCACTTTTAATAAAAATAAAATAAAATTAACGTTTCTTTCTAATTCATTTTAGCAAAAGTAACTTTTTAACAATTTGAGTCAAATATATCTTTATTCTTTATTTTAATTTTTTTAATGGACAATTGAGATATAAAAAAATAAATAAATAATCCAACAAAATCCACCATATTTGATAAGTACTAAAAAAATTTATGTTTTGTTCTTTTGTTAAAAAAAAAATTTATAATAAAAAATTTTATTGTTCAAGTCCTTATAGTTTGGAAGGATATAATTTTTTTTTTTATAAAATTTAAAACAAAAAAATAATAGCGATAAATAATTTGAACATATGTATTTAAAACAAATTATATTTAGACCAATAATATTATGGCACATTATTATGACACATGTGAATATTGATCTCATGTTAATTGTAATAATATAATTTGAAGAAGAATTTAAATTTGAAATTTTATTTTAGAATTTAATAAAGGATGCAAAATTTGAACATATGATTTTTTACAGACATATAGTACTCAACAAGTTTTACACATTGATCAGTTCTAATTATTTAAACGAGACCCGTGGTAAGGCGATAAAGTTTGATGAAGACTAGAGGGAAACCTCATCTTATATATATATATAATTTGAAGCATGTTTGCCCCACCACACAACTGAAAGCCATCTGTAATATTCCTTCAATAGTCATTGTCACTACTATGCATAGGGCATATGGGTAATACTATAATTTGTTATTTTGTATAATATTTTAGTACATATTTTTTCGTAAAAAGTTAAAAAGTTATCATAAATAATCATCTTTTTTTTCTCTACTTTTTTATCTAAAAAGTCAAAAAGTGTACTTATATAATTCATTCTAAACAACCCCTTAGTTTGAGATATTGGAACACGTATAAGACTTGTGGTTAGAAACCCTATTTTACTTAGCCTCCGTTTGGGAAGTGGGTTGGCTTTTTGGCTTTTTGGCTTTTTTGGCTATTTTAGCCTGGGCTTAAAAGCTTGGTTTTGGAAGGACTTTTTGGCTTTTTTGAGTTTTTTTGTGAGAGAAGAATGTAATGATTATGGGTTGGATGTGATGTTTTGTTGATTTAATAAGAATTTATATTTATTTTAGATATTTTTTTAATATAAATTTTTTTTATAGATTTTTTATAAAAATAATTTAACAATCCTATTACTAACTATAGTGTATTGAAGAAGTTGAAAAGGGCATAGCAGTAAGAATAAGAGAAATTAAAAAGACTTGTGAGTTAAGAAAAATCAATAAATACTAAGATTTTTTTCTTAAATCAAAAAAAATTTAAAAAATTAAAATTGAAATATTAAAACTCTCGCAAGATTTGTAGATTAAAAATTTTTTTTTTTATATAATATATAAATATGGATAATATTTTAACCACTCCAAGAAAAGCCAAGCCGACCCGGATGTATCATGGGTTGTCGTACATGAGACAGAAAGGACCCAAAAGCGACGTTTTCATCCTCACCATATTAAATAAAATAATTCATAAGAAATTATAAAATTACCATAACAGGTAAGCCTAATATAAATATTTTCAACAGTCAGATTTGGTCGGTCCCTCTGAGACCACAGTCTATTCGTATGACCTTTCATGGGTATAACTGTCTTTTCACATACATCACTGCAAAAAAATCTTCGTACATAACCTTTATATGTTTTAGTATAAATTTTTAATAAAAATTAAACATTTAAATATAAATTTATAAAAAAATAATGATTTAAACATAAATCATTAATAACTATATATTTAAATAATTTATTTTTATACATCAATAATATATATCTATCTGAACAAAATAAATGGCTTGTACTGATATTTTTTTTTAATAACTGTGTATATTTATCTATATATTTTTACGTTATTTTCTGGCTAAGGCTGTGATTGCCTTTCCTGCTTGGGATTCGATCCATTTTCAGTAGAAAAATGAATCGATCGAAAATGTAAACCAAGTTTCCAACATAGTTGAGATTACTCTCTGTTTCTCTCTTCATTTCAGGTTCTCTCTCTCTCTCTCTCTCTCTCTCTCTCTCTCTCTCTCTCTATATATATATATATATATATTTGTGTATAATTTGAGCTTGTGTTGTTGATCTTTGAGCAAAGAAATTTGAGAATTTAGTTGTGGAGTTGTATCGATTGAGGTCATTGTGTGTTCACTAGTTGAATTATTTTCTCATGATTCTGTTGTTGTGTTTATTGTCGAAGTCTGTGATTAGTGTTTTTTTTTTTTTTTTTTGGGGGGGGGGGGTGGGGGCTAAATTAAATGGTGGTTATGTAGTTTGAGCAATCCAATTTGAACAAATGAAACACTACAATTTGAGATGAATTGCAATGCATGTGCACACATAAACCCCCACTACAAAATTGCAATCTCTTTCCCATGCCAACCTATCTCCTTCAACTAATCAAAAGCAGATTTTTTAGTTGGTTTTTTTTTTTTTTTTTTTTTTTTTGGATTTTTTTTAAAATATTTAATTTAGTTACTTTTAATTTGTAAGTTGAAAATTTTAAAATAAATGAAGGCGAATGGAGACGGGGGATGAGACATGGATTTGGAGAACTTCAATGGCCTTCTGGAGCAGTTTATAAAGGTGAATTTTCAGGCGGTTATATGAACGGGATAGGGACATATATTGGGCCTGATAACATGAAATAAAAAAAAAAAAAAAAAAAAAAAAAGATTTAATTGAAATCACTGCTCTTTTTTGTGGATGGCATTAAAGTGCTTCTCATTTTTGGTACATTGGGGCTTTGCACCAGACAGCCACTTCGATGAGATTTCAGATTCCTGATGAGGCTTGTGGTTTGAAGTCAGCATTATCCGCCCCCCCTCCTGAGGGAAATATTTCAATTTTAACAAAATTTCAGGATAAAAAAGGGGGGAAATATCTCAAATATATATATATATTTATTTACTTGGCCTTTGTCAAATCTTGTGTCCTTTGTATATAAAAACTACAACTTTCACATTCAAAGAATTGTTTTTGAGAAAATAGAGCTTAAACAGTCTCTATTTATTTTTTTTGTTTTTTTATCAGCAAGCTTAAACAATCTGTGTGCAAGCTTTAAGTTGCACAGGTTCAAACTTTTACCAAGGCTGTAAGAATGGGCTGGAAACTGGAGAACCCTACATATAATTGATTTTAGAAGGTTGGGGCTGGTCATTGGCTATAGGATTCACACATGGCTTTTGATTAGGAGCATGGATTATGTGATGAAGGTTATTATTTTCCACCCTGAGCATTGGGAACTTTGGATATGTTAATTTGAATTAATTTTATTTATTTATTTATTTTTTTCACATGAAGTTTTTTGAAGATTTAGGCAAGACCTTCTTGGCAAGGCTCCATGGAATGTATGTAAGCTGAACTTTTGGGTAGTGGGTAACACAAGGAATTGGGATTGATGTAGTTTCCTTTGCCACAGGTGCCTCAGGTTTGAGGTTTAAAATTATATGATGTGACTGCTATATCCCCTGATGCCATGCTAGGGCTACTAGTGAGATTTAGTGTACCTGTCTTTCAAATGATTGGCTCGAAGCCTAATTTGTCATAATGCCTTTTCATATACTTCACTTACATTTTATCATATCCCTTACCCAGTTCTGAAACATGGTCATGCCACACCTTTTGTACACACCAAAATACTAGCAATTGGTTTTTCATGGAAATTTTTTACATGAAGTTCAATGGCCTAAAGTTATGTCGACTTAGATGATTCTTTTTTTAAACCTTTTGTGTATTTTATTTATTTATTTATTTGGTTACACCTTCACTTGTAATAGCTGAAGATGTTAAAGTATCTCTGCGCCTCTGCATATTGTTCTTGCACCATACTTGGCTTTCCCTTTCAACTAGTCATCATTATTACTCACTGTCCTGGCCTTTCTTTAGTTTATGTCAAGGTGTCAATTTCATTGGAATAATTGTTTAACAAAAAATTATAATCACATCCGTACAATGTAGGTAGAAATTAGAATATGTGGAATGCGAGGAATATGAGAATTGGAGTTTGCACAGGCTTTTGTTGTCTGAAATTTCATCTTCATCTTATAATTATTTGGAATTTATAATTTTCTTTCATTGTATTAAGAAAAGGGACAAGTTTCACATAATTGAACATAATAATTGATCCGTCTCTCTCTCTCCCCCCAAATAGGTCAAAGAACAAGGAGTTTCTTTGGTATTATAAGGGTTTTGATTCTCTTTCTTTCTCTGGCAAACAGGTCAAAGAACAAGGAGCTTCTAGGTATTAGAGCCACTCCATTTTAAATATTTCTATGTCATGCTGTGTTGTCCCATAGCTCATGAGAACAGTTGGGAGAGTTGCTTTCTTGTAAAAAACTGAGACCTTTCAGGCATTATGCATGTCTGGCCCTGGGGCCATTGTTGGTGGCGTGGGAGCACTTTCTTTGTCAGACAGGACAAAATCTCTTGATGCCTATTCCTTTAATGAAAAAGACCACCCAAGCGTATCAACAAATAGGGAAGTTGCTTCTACTTCTGGGGCAGTGGGCTTTAGCGCTGGAGAGCTCGTACTGTCCAATGGGGAATCTTATTCTGGGTCCCTTCTTGACAACATGCCTGAGGGTACAGGGAAGTACGTTTGGTCAGGTAGTTGCAAATATGAGGGCGAATGGAGACGGGGGATGAGACATGGATTTGGAGAACTTCAATGGCCTTCTGGAGCAGTTTATAAAGGTGAATTTTCAGGCGGTTATATGAACGGGATAGGGACATATATTGGGCCTGATAACATGAAATATGAGGGACGGTGGAGGTTGAATCTTAAACATGGGTTGGGATATCAAGTTTATCCTAATGGAGATGTATTTGAAGGAGCTTGGATTCAGGGAACCCCGGAAGGGCCTGGTAAGTATACGTGGGCTAGTGGAAATGTTTATCTGGGTAATATGAAAGGAGGAAAAATGTCAGGGAAAGGAACTTTGACTTGGACAAATTCGGACTCGTATGAAGGAAGCTGGTTGAATGGCATGATGCATGGATTTGGAGTCTATAAATGGAGCGATGGAAGTTGCTATATTGGAACGTGGACATGGGGTTTGAAAGATGGAAAAGGATCATTTTATCCAAAAGGCAGCAAGCTTCCAGCTGGACAAGAGTTGCATCTTAATGTTTTGAGAAAACGAGGGCTGCTGCCAGATTTAAGAAAGCAGAATCAAGTTTCACACCTTCGTCATGCTTCTTCAGTTGATATGGGAAGTACCAAGGTTGCTGAGAACCAGAGACCTCGACGTAATTCGTCTATGGAGCACTCTCGCACCACCAGTGCTTCTTTAGAAAGACGCTGGAGTATGGGCGTATCTATTGAAAAAGGTGTTGGACATGATTCATCAATGGGTTTGTTTGAGACAGTTTCAGAAGGCAGGGAAAATGACTCCACTGAATTTGCTCCGATCCTCGAACGAGTATATATGCAAGGTGCTTTAATTAGTGAGCTTGTTTTAAATAATAGTTTTTCGCCATCATCTAAGAGAGCAAAAAAGCAGCAAAAGAAACTTGCTAAGGAGATAAAGAGGCCAGGTGAAACAATTATTAAAGGTCACAGGAGTTATGATTTAATGCTCAGTTTGCAGCTTGGAATCAGGTATACTTACTTCCTTGAATGTTATGTTTCTCAGATAAAACTATATTTGCCCACAAATGTACATCTTGTTTTTTGTTTTTGCAAAATTTTCATCATGTGCGTGTGTTGTTGTGTAGTATTTTGATATGTTTGTACGTCAGCATCAGCATCACCATCCTGCTGGCATCACTACTGAATTGTTGTGTGCAATTATTTCTCTTTGTTCTTTGAGTAGTTATATATAGGCTTGAGTCTGGGCAATCTATTTGAAGGTTCTCTTCACATATAATTCCTCTGGATGTGCTTGTGATTTTTTGTGCATAAAGTTTTTGTAAGGGCTTTGCTTCACAGGCCAAGGATGAAACAGGATACATTTTCTGACTGAAGCATGAGGTGCCTAAGATATAGTCACGTAGGAGTCAGAATCAACTTGTGGGATCATAAAAAGCAAGGGACAGAAGTTTGTAGGTTTACACTTCTCTAACTGGGCTGATCTTCGTGAACCTCTGATGGACTATGAAACATGGGTACTTCGAAAAACATGCCGTACCCGTACTGGGTACTTACCGGCGTACCGTACCTCGTATGGTACTTCTGTATACATACTGGGTACACGAAACATGTACCCAAGTTTTTTCTTCTTAATTTTTGACGTACCCAGACGTACCTAGCATATATCCAAGCCGTGCCGTACCGTACCGTACTGTACCGTACCGTACCTCAATTAAAACAATATTTTCCTTTTACTACACAGATAAAACTCATTTCACTAGACTTCTTCTTTATTTTTTGTTTTATGCTTTAGCATGATTTTAAAATTAAATTATGATTTTTAAGTTATTTAATATATTGACATTTAATTTTGATTTATACTTTTACTTTTGGTATTAAATGTTAATTATAGGTTGGACCTTAACAAATTAAACTATTTAATTAATTTTTACATTACTCTAAATTAAAAATAAATATTTTTTTACAAAGGTACAAAGCCATACCCGTACCCGAATTTTTTTTTAATTTTACCGTATCGGCGTACCCATATCGTATCAGTACTCGTACCCGTATCCGTACCCATGCTTCATAGCTGATGGATCAATTCTTGCAATTTTGTGGATGTTCTACAAGTCATGCTTCAACGAAAATGAAACAAAAAAATAGAATAGGTTTGCTGTCTTCAGAATAAAATTGTCTTCGCAAAGTGAAGCTTGTCTTCCAATCAGGTCAAAATCAAATTGCAATCATAATGTGAGGATTAGTCCACCCATGTGATAAAGGTGATTCCATTGATTATTAGGTTGGTTTATACATGTATTTGGGTTAGGATAGTAGAATCTAAAATCTACTGGGAAGCCTAATATATATAGGATTTGGTTACCTAATTCTATAGAACTAGGATTCTCATGGATAGACTATTATAAATAGTCACGTGGACTGTAGAGTTTCTTTCAGAGAGATTGAGAGGAGGAAAAATAGAGATGTACAGGGTGAGAGAAAAAATACCGTGTGGGGACCGAGGTGAGTAAGGGCTCAACTATCCTTGAGCATGGGTTCGGATAGTGGTGTAGATTTTGAGTATTTTGACCATCTCACATGTATTCTCTATTTTATTTATAGTGGATGCTCTCTTTCCCGTGGATGTAGGCAATTTGGGCCGAACCACGTAAATTTGTGTGATTTTTTTTCTCTATGGTGTGTGTGTGGGTTTGCTTCCATTCGCATTGGGGGATATGGAATAAATCCCAACACATAATTCTGTAGTTAAGGTCATTGCAGGTCCCCTTGACTACTCCTGGATTGTAGGGAAAGGGGCTATCTATACATCAATCAGTTATTTAATCTTCTGAAATCAAATCAGGTGTACAAGAAAAAAAATGTGAAGGAAAGACAAATAAGGTGTAAAAAGTTGTAGAAGCATAACACAGTGAGTTTCTACCTTTTCTGTTATCTGCATCACTAAATTGTTTAAGTTTACCACCCATAGAGGAAACCATGAAGGATTTATGTGATGATTTTATTATGACACCATGAGAATGAACCTTATGTGATGATTTTATTATGACAGCATGAGAATGAACCAAGAGTCTGTTTTACTGTTTTTGTCCAATACCTAAGAATTGTAACAGGTTTCTCCTTGTGCTGACACAAACTATCATTTCTACTTTGTGCTTATAGAATTTTGCATATTTTGTTAGTTTCTTCAATTTGGAGTCATGATTTTCTTTCGCTCATACTACGAAGATTGCTTGGCATATTTGTATGTTTTTATAGGAATCTAATTTTTATTTTTATTTTTTGGGATTTAAACTCATATTCTATTGTATAGATACTGAACATGGATTAGATTATGATCAGATATACTGTGGGGAAAATTACGCCCATACAAAGGCGAGAAGTAAGGGCTTTAGATTTTGGCCCACGAGCAAGCTTTTGGATGAATTTCCCTAAAGAAGGGTCCCAGTTGACGCCGCCTCATCATTCAGAGGATTTTAGGTGGAAAGATTATTGTCCAATGGTTTTCAGGTTGGTGGCTGACTTCCATTAGAATAGATGAAAGTGTGAGCATGGTATTGTTTGATTAAATTACTTGTCATACTTCTTAAGTTGTACACTTATCTCTTAGCTGCATAGTATGGTTCTATACCTGAGATCTATAGCACTTGGCAACAGTAAGTTTGAGTTACATTTATATCAAATCTTGGAAGGCTCATTTTGTTCGTGTTTGTAGGAATTTGAGGGAGTTGTTTAAGATTGATGCTGCTGATTACATGATGTCCATTTGTGGCAATGATGCTCTAAGGGAACTTTCATCTCCGGGAAAAAGTGGTAGTGTTTTTTTCCTGTCCCAGGATGATCGTTTCATGATTAAGACACTCAGAAAATCTGAAGTAAAGGTGCGCCATCTCAATTTGCACCTTGCATATAGGCATGTCTTGGATTTTATATTTTCTTTCATCTTGTTTTTCTCGAGTTATGATTGTAGTGTTTCAGTAATTCTTGTACATTGACAGATCCTTCTTTATATGTTATGCTTATGCAATAGAGTACTCATTGTTGATTTATAAAGGATTTGACTAGGGTCCCTCAATATGAGAGATGATAGAGAAAGGACAAGGAATCTTGAAAGAACAAGGGGACTAATGGAGAAGAGTATGAGTTAGAGCAGAAAAGACGAGTGCTGGATGAAATAAGGTGGAGAGAGAGAGAGAGCAAAGCTCTTCAATAGTTTAATTAAGCTCAAATTTGTCGGAACCCTTAAGAGTTCTAGTTTGAGCCTTTATGTAGGCTTAATTCCCAAAACTAAACATGTCAAAGAGACCTTAACTCTACCTGGTATTGATATATGAACGATCAAAATCACAATAAATCACCATTATTACCTTCCAAAACTGCACTCCAACTGCTGTGGTAATTTAAATAGGAGTTTCCCCACCAAGGTTAAAAAGATAAAAATCTGAAATGCATTCCTTACACCCCAAAAAAATACCCAATACCAAATTTCTATACCTAAGAGATTTTAAAATATTATATTTAAATAAAGTTAGTATTTTGTACTTTAGATAATTTAAAACTGCTGTGCAATTCTTGTTGACTTGGGGTACTTGCCTTTAGTGTTCAGAGTAGAAAGACTTTTTCCCTAGAGAGAAGTATGATGTTAGTCATGGTTCGCTTCTGGGGTCATTTCATGATATCTTTTAACAACCGCATTTGGACTATAAGATCTATATCCCTTTTAGGAGTAAAACTTCAGTGTAAAAGCGATACCATGTCATCACCTACATGAGGTGTCATCACCTTTAGCGTTCAGAGTAGAAAGACTTTTTCCCTAGAGAGAAGTATGATGTTAGTCATGGTTCGCTTCTGGGGTCATTTCATGATATCTTTTAACAACCGCATTTGGACTATAAGATCTATATCCCTTTTAGGGGTAAAACTTCAGTGTAAAAGCGATACCATGTCATCACCTACATGAGGTGTCATCACCTACATGAGGTATTATCATCCAATAAAAATACACCACGAGATAGTTGAAAGGTGATACCACGTGTCGTTGATGACTATGCTATGCATACATGGTACTTTTTATTGAAAGGTGATGTATCACGTGTCATCGATGACTTGGTATCGCCGTTGTATTGAATTTTCTCTCCCCATATAGAGATTGGCTAAGAAACAAGAACCGCGATGCAAATTGAAGTTAAACTTGAGGAGATTGATTGTCTTACATTGGTGACACATATTTCTTCTGTGTAAGAATGAACCAATTTCAATCTATAAATTTTGTTTTCAAAGGATTGTTGATAGCATGATTAAATAGGATTATTGATGTGCAGATGCCAAAGAGGAAAGGAGAAATGCAAATCAAGATCTTGTATCAAAGAACTGGTCTAGGTTGTTTTTGCATCTATAGGATATTATTGTGGTTTATAGCTTTCGGCAAAAATTGAAGATGAAAAATCACAGTTCTTTATAAAGAATTAAGTATTCAAATCTTGTTTTTGATTTACTCATGGGTTGTAAGGATGCTAATTGTATGTTTATGAGGGGGCTGATAAAAAAATATAGGGTAAATTACATTTACACTCGCTGAGGTTTGGGTGTAATACATATCATCCCCTGACATTTGGAAAATTACATTGACCCCCTGCCATTGTAATTATTTAGACAGAATTAACGTTGGTATCAAAAAGATATTGAATTCATACACTTTCTCTTTTTTTGTTTTGCTTTACTTCTTGTTTTTTTTTTTTTTTTTCTTCCTTTGCTTTACTTTTTTTTTTCAATGTAATTTCTTCTGTTTTTCTACCAAGAGTTATTGCCTTTTATATAAGTTAGGGGTCTGTGAAATGAGACTATTAACTACAAGAGAGGAATGTAATTTCTATAATGTCAGGGGGTGGGATATAGTCGGATCAAACCTCAGGGGATGTCAGTGTAATTTACCCAAAAATATATATAATAATTATGTTTATGTGGGGATCCTCAGTAAGTCTGAATTTTAAACTAAGGTGTGCATATTAGTTCCTGGCTGCTTTTAATTTCCATGTTGTTCTAGTGAAATTTAATTTTGTAGCATTTGAGGTATGACCTGTAATTGATCTATAGATTCTTTCTGTTCATCTATGACCTTTATGGTTTATTAATATCAATAAGATCTTATTACTATACTAACCTTAATTGTCCCAAATTCATGCTTTAGAATTTTTTGTTGTTGAGGTAAAGATCCACCCAATGCTTCAGATAAACCAAGACAGCTCCTTGAAACTTGAACATAGCAGGAGCTTGAGGAAGTAATGAACTACCAAGGACTTCTTGTGGCTGTGTTTGCAAAAGATGAACTTGCAAAGATGATTAAGATGGACAAGCAGTTCCAGATGCTGCATTAACTGAACTCCTTTCTCAACAAAAGCCAACCAAAAGAAAAACAAAAACAAAAGAAGAAAAAAAAGAGGACTAACTTGCCTTATATTGATTTTTAGAACTCCACTTATTGCCTTTTGTTAATCCTATGACTTGTATTATGCTTGGCATGCATTTTAGTCATAAGATACATTATATTTGTCAATCGAGTTCTGCAGAGTTGGAACATTCCTCGAATTACTGAAGTATTTTTTGTTTTCCGTTCCATGAATTGTGGTTGAAGTTCTAGTGATCAAAGTTCTTATGTGCAGGTTCTTCTGCGGATGCTTCCAAACTATCACCATCATGTTCGGACATATGATAACACACTCATAACTAAATTTTTTGGTCTCCACAGGATCAAACCCTCTAGTGGCCAAAAGGTAATTAAAACAGCATCTTATAACCCTATTGCCAGAAAACTTATTTCATGTGCAATGATGACATAACTGGTTATTAGTTAATGCTACCTCAGTAAATCACACTGGAATTAGGCACATAATTTTATGTTCCCCTTATTTTCCAACAGTACTGTTTTTTTTACGAAATGAACTTTCAAGAAAGTAAAATGCTTTATGTACATAAGAATATGATTCTTGTAAACTAATTCTTGTGCTGCAGTTTCGCTTTGTAGTAATGGGGAATATGTTCTGCACAGAATTAAGGATCCATCGCAGATTTGATTTGAAGGGTTCCTCCCTAGGTCGTTCAACTGACAAGGTTGAAATTGATGAAAATACAACACTAAAAGATCTGGATCTGGACTATTGCTTTCATTTGGAACCTTCATGGCAGGAGGCTTTACTAAAGTAAGTGTAGCTTAAAATTGTTATGTCCTTGCTACATATTAAAAGGTTTTACTAAAGTTCACAGAGTTCTTCATTTGGTTACTGTAGATTTGGGACCAACAATATTTTGAGGTTGAATTGTCATTTCTATTTGCACTACCTCTTCGATAATTCAAGCTGGTGTTTCAGATATTGATCTTGTATCAATTTTACAAACAACTACTGTTTTCAACTGGCTTGTTATCATGAAATCATAAACAGAAAACAACTACTATTGTTTTCAACTAGCTTGTTATTATGAAATTGTAGACAGAAAGTATTATTCTCGAGCTGCCAGTAGTCCATGAAATTTTTTCTATATCATTTGCTGCCCTATTCGTGAACTGTTTTAAGTTCCATTTGTTACCTATATACTTGGGCATACAGGAAACTTGGGAAAATGACAAGTTCTATTACATGTGCGATAAAAGAATGAAGCTGTATATTGAAATCCTTAATGATTTTATTTCTACCTAAAATAAGTTGACAGAAGACAAGTACACTCATGTTAATGTCATCGGAAGAAATAAACAAAAGAAATGCATTCAATGATTATGAAAATAAAATGGAATAATTTTTTTCAATGTTTTTCCTTAAAAACTCCAAAGCTTAATTTGACATGTGTGTGTTAAAAATTATATTTCAAATATGGTTTCAAATATATATTTTTATTCAATTTTAAATTCAACATATATTGCATTCTTATTGTGTTAATACTTATGGTTCTCTTTTCGTGCATATTTTGACTACTTATCTAATCTCTCATTACGTAGGCAGATTGAAATTGATAGTAAATTTTTGGAAGCAGAGCACATCATGGATTACAGCCTTCTGATGGGCGTCCATTATCGAGCCCCTCCACACCTGCTATCTCGTATGCCTTTCAATCGAAGTATAACAGCAGATGGATTGGGAATTGTTGCAGAAGAAGGTGAGCTTCATGTCGAACAACTGATTTTCTTCAGTAATTGAATATGTTGCTGTTTGGACCTACTTAATGTTAGCCGAGAAGAAACAAAAAGCAAAAAAAACTTCCTGAATGTCAAAATGTATCAAGCGTTGAATTGCAAAAAAAATAATTTCTGATACTGAAATTGTATAAGAATGCAAATGTAACTTTGTCATCTATTGTTTGGATGATTCAATCAGAACCTATAGAGGACAAGATCTCCAACAACCCACAAGGCCTTGTTTTGGTCCCTCGTGGAGCTGATGATAATAGTGTTGTCGTGGGTCCTCATATCAGAGGTAGCCGATTGAAAGCTGCATCTGCTACTGGTGATGAGGAAGTGGATCTTCTTCTTCCGGGAACAGCAAGGTATGATCATTAAACTAGAAGAGAATTCTTGTTAATTTGTGCAAAAGCTCCGGCAGAAAGCATGAATGAGCGATTCTCTTTTCACAACTTAACTGATGTAGGTAAAGCACCAAAATGACTAAGCCTACATGTTTGAACAATTGTTATGATTGTTCTGTGGTAAGACACATAGGAAAGGATCATATTTTTCTAGAACACATAGAAATTGATTTTGGTTTTGGTTTTTCCTCATATCTGGTTAAGCAGACTCCAAATCCAGCTTGGAGTGAACATGCCAGCAAGAGCAGAGCATATTCCAGGGACAGAGGAAACACAGATGTTTGACAAGGTATATGATGTTGTATTGTACCTGGGTATCATCGACATTTTACAGGACTACAACATAAGTAAGAAGATCGAGCATGCATGGGAAAGAGGAAAAAGAGATGTTTCATGAAGTATATGATGTCGTATTGTACCTTGGTATCATCGACATATTGCAGGACTACAACATGAGTAAGAAGATTGAGCATGCATACAAGTCTATTCAATTCGATTCTGTGTCAATATCTGCAGTGGATCCTACATTCTACTCTCAGCGCTTTTTAGAATTTATTCAGAAGGTGTTCCCGCCAAATGTTGTAGCGAGTTAAAAAGACCACCCCGGATTATAACTTATTTCTGCCACTGGTGAGGGTTGCCGTTGACCCTTTCTGCTTGACAAGATGGTTCTGACATTTCAAAAATCACAATGGAATTCTGTTACCAGGGTTACTTAAAAGGGGAAGAAGGTCTTCGCTGCTGTATGCTTTACAAATATGAAAGCTAGTGTTCTCTTGTTGAGAGTGCATAAAAAATGTCTAGGCTTTCAAAAAAAAAAATTTGCCCTGTAATTGTGTGCAGTTTGTTATAACAGATATAATAGTACGCTAAACATTCTTATGCTGGCCCGGGCATTTTATGAGTATCATATTGCTTCTTAAGTGCTACATAACATACTTCTGGATTTTTTGGTCAAGTTATCTCTGTTGAATTGACATTGTCTGGAGCAGGATGGAACACTGAACACAAGGCACTGCCTTGCTTCCATTTAAAACTAATGAAGACCAGTACATCCCAGTACCACCACTTGGCTATGAAGGCTGAAGGTTCTATTCTCAACATTGATTCGAGTTTACTGATTCTGCCAACTTCAGTGAAAAAAATTTAATTGATTTGTTTCTTGTTTATTGCTTTGTGCAACCTTCTTCTGCCCAAAATTGAAGGTATCATTTTGGATACTTGCCAAAGTGTGAAGTGTGTGGCGTGCTACTTAATACTCTTCATTAGCCCGCCAAACTACCACATAGGCAGCCAGTAAACGCAATAAGTAATAGTTGATGGGCCACAAAGTTGAAGACAAGCTAAGATAGAGCAAACTAGCTAAAGCAATGTAAAGCAACAAACATGACCATAAGGATTGCAGACCCTAAAAAAAACCATGAAAAATCTTAGAGTCGGACTTTTATAACAAAATAAATATTGGATTTTTTATTTTATTAATTTAAACTCTAATTTTTTAATTTTTTTTCAATTTAAATTATTTATCTATTTTTGTTAAGTAAAATTGACAGAAAAATAGTATTTTAGTCATTAAACTTAACGAAAAATGATATTTTAAACATTTTATGTAAATTTGTATTTATTTTAATGGCTAAAATACTACTTTTCTGTCAGTTTTAATTAATGAAAATAAACAAATGGTTTAAATTGAAAATAAATCAAAAGATTAAAATTTAAATTGACAAAATTAAAAATTCAATGTTTATTTTTTTTATAAAGATCAAACCTTGAGATTTATTCTGTAATTTGCACTATATTTTTTTATGTCACTGGTTGACGGGTAATTCCATTTTCATACACTAATTCCTTTCAATGTATACATTTAATGAATACCTTCTCAGTACATACATTAAAAAAATAAAAAATATTACTATACATCTTTTTATTTCAGGAAAACTTACAAATACGCCCCTGAGATTTGCTTAAAGTACAGATTGCCCCTTGTGGTTTAGAAAATTACAAACATCCTCTTGTTAAATTTTTTTATTTAACAAAATTAACTAAAAAATAAAATTCATAATTGTTCTCCTATGCAATAATAAAATTATCTAAATTGTTAATTAAAACATATTTCTAATATCATTAAAAACTGTTAATTGATTTGATAATTTATTAATAAAATGGACGATTTGTTATGAAATTAAAGATCTCAGGAGGTTGAATGTAATTTTCAGAACTACAGAGCGCGATTTGTATTTTAATCAAATATCAGCGGGTGTATTTGTAATTTATCCTTTATTTTAATAATATTTTCATTTTAACCCACTCCACCTTCACAACTGTTGTCGCCACTCTTAACCCTCCATCGCCATTACCGCTACCACTCTTAACCCACTTACAACCACCACTTCCAGCCCATCTCTTTCTATCCTAGACCTCTATAGTCAATCTCAAAAGTGGATAGTTTGTGACAGAGGTTAGTGGAAATATATGATTCATGGCAAAAGGTGGTCGCAAGCGGAGGGGGAAAAAAAAAAAAGCAAAGCAAGGGTAGGAGATAATAGAAGAGTAGTGGTGCTGACAATATGGAGGATGGTTGTGACGTTTTAGAATTAAGGTTTGGATGAAAAAAGATAAGATTATTATAGTATTTTTATTTTAAAACAAAATTATATTGAAGAAAAATTACATTAAGGTTATGTTTCGTTGGAGAATTTGATGAGAGAAATGAAAAAAAAATATATACAATTCTACTTTTTATTTGGTTATAATGGAAAACAAAAGAGAAGAAAAAGTGAGAAAAAAATATAATCACACTTTATGTCTTTTAAATTCATTTTCCAACTCAATCACATATAATTTGAAATTTGAATCCTATCAATTTTTTCACATTTTCATTCTATTTTTTTTTCCGTCAATTTTTTCAACTAAACATAATTTTAAGTGTGTGTAAACTAAATGGGAATTAGTACATAAAAATAAAGGCAGCGTTTGATAAAGTTTTAGAATTATAATTTGAAAATAAAATTATATTTTGAATTTGTGAGTTTTGAAATTATGATTTGAGTATGAAAAATTTGTTTGGTTATGAGTTTAAAAAAAAATTTTGAATTGAGTTTGAAATTTTTGATATGACATATGATATTTGATTCAAAAATTTATAACTCATAACTAATCACACAATCTAAAATTATATTCAAAGCTCAAAAAATTTAAAAAAATTCTGAAAATATTTTTTATTTAAAATATAAAAATAACAAGTATAAAAAAACGAATATTATACCAATCAACCGACCAGATGTCTAAAAAGATGACTGAGTAAACGTGCTTACAAAAATAAGTGTGGGATCAATTTTTAAAACTTATAACCAAATACTACACTCAAAGCAAGAAATGAAATTAAAATTGGAAACCTCTATCAAACAGAGTCAAAATCTCTCCTGGTTGGCATGGAATCTGTTAATGTAAATTGTAAATGTAAATTGTACTCCACCTACCACCTCCACTTCACCTAACACACTCAAGTTTTTTTTTTTTTTTTTTTTTTTCTTTCCTTCCAATCACCCAGTGCCACTGGGGGGCCATTGGGGGTGGGTTTTGTTGGGGTCCGCGACATTTTTCTTTTAAAAATTATAACTAAATACTACACTCAAAGCAAGAAATGAAATTAAAATTGGAAACCTCTATCAAACAGAGTCAAAATCTCTCCTGGTTGGCATGGAATCGAATAAACTTTCTCCTTACCAAAAAGAAGCTTTTAAGCAAGAAAGAAAGCTGCGTTTTCTCACACCACACCACCACCGCCTCTGGTGGGTGTGGAAATATTTTAAAATCCTCGAAAACAGAATGTAAATGTAAATTGTACTCCACCTACCACCTCCACTTCACCTAACACACTCAACTCTACCTACCACCTCCACTTCACCCCCTACCAGCACCACCACAATCTGCTACCTTCTCTTCTATATATAGGAGTTGTAATCAATATACAGATAGACAACAATCTTGTAATACATATCAATCAATAATAATACATCAATTTATCTTACAGAATCGAATAAACTTTCTCCTTACCAAAAAGAAGCTTTTAAGCAAGAAAGAAAGCTGCGTTTTCTCACACCACACCACCACCGCCTCTGGTGGGTGTGGAAATATTTTAAAATCCTCGAAAACATATGGAATGGATAAGCAAAAGTGAAAAAGGAAAATTATTGGATGTGTATAGGGTGTGATGTCCAAGTGATTTGAGAGTAAAATTATAAATTAAATAATGAATTAACGGATTGAAAAATATTCTAATAAATTATCAAATCTTTACATAATATATAACACTAATTTGTATAATATTTTATATATATATATATAGCATAAACTAATTTTACATGATATTTTTTTTATATATATATAACTACTAATTTGTAATAAATTTCACATATTAAATTTCTTTCACATTCATTTTTATTTTAATATTTCAATATAAGTTAAAATATATATATATATATATATCAATTATAGTGAAACAAAATTGTTTCGAAAATGAATTATAAATTTTAAAATTTGAACTACAATTAGTGGATAAAATGGTGTGAATTGATGCGAATCGATACAGTTTTAGCGAAGCAGACAATTTTTTTACACAATCCTAAATGTATATATGTAACTTTACGCAAAATTACGTAAATTTCACGAACTTACATAACTAATTTTATAAAAATGTTTAAGTTATATACAAATTCGCATAATCACATAAATCAGAGCAGAACATTGCTTACGATTTGGCATTGAAGATATTGATAATAGGAGACTTTGGAGTCGGCCCAGTCTCGTCCTTAGCTTCACCTCCAAATACACTGAATATTCCGCCCCTACCATCGGTACACACTCACTTAATCTTCTCAATATCGTTTGTTTGTTAATGTTGTTAATTTCTTATTTTCTGTTATCCAAAAATAAATAAATGAAAACAAAATTAGAAAAAAAGAAGAAGTTTTGCAAGTTCTCAGAGATACTGGTTGATGGTGGGGGGTGGATGTATGAACAGATGTGGTGACCCACAGTGGGGTTAGCCAGAATTGATGGTCGAAGTCTCGTCGATAGTCATATCAGATTATTGAAAAGTCATTGAAAGGGCACTGGCGGTTGGCAGTGGTTAGCAGTGCTGGTGCCGAGGAAAGGATGGAAAAATGCTTGAGACCCTTCTTTGAAAATTTTTATAATTTTGAAAGGATGGAAAAATGCTTGAGACCCTTCTTTGAAAATTTTTATAATTTTCGTTGGATCGATATATTTGGGAGACTCACTCATGTATTCTATGTGTAAGACCTACACCATCAATAGTAGAGATCCAAAAAAAAATTGCGAGGATCTCTAAAAATTAAAAAAAAAAAAAAAGTCTCAATCATTGTTGGGAGAAGATGAGATCCCTTCATATTTGCATCTTTTTATATTCATTTACATTTTTTTGGTGAGTTAAAATTCGGATTTACATGATCCAAACGGTCTATTTTCTAAGTTTGTAATAAAAGTCATATATAAATATAAGAACAAATTATATTTTATTTTATAAAAAGGATAATAAATAAGATTGTAAACTAAAATCATTCGTTTTGTAACAAAACCTAATTTTTTTTATGTTTATAACTGTCTGATAAATCTAATTTTTTATATGTATAACCTTTACTATGAAACCTATAAAATAGATGATTTGAATCATCAAAAATAATAAATGAATATGGAGAGTTGAAATATTGAAGGAAACTTATCTCGCATAGGAGGAGCAGAGTACAAACTTAGTTTAAAAACAAAAACAATATACCAAATGAGTTTTTATATCCAACTTCGAAAAAAACAAAACATCAATGCATTAACAAAGGACCCAGTTGTCAACAAGTAACTTGATATACAAATATTATTAATCTAGCCGTAATTCTTTTCTCTAACACAGTCTGAATTATGGTTCTTTTCTACGAGTGAAATTATAATGTTTGGAACATATTATTAAAATTGATTTAATAAATCAAGAGTTATACATGAGGGGCTAAGATTTTTTTTTAAAAAAATACATGAGGGGCTAAGATTTTTTTTTAAATTAATTTTATTTTATATCTAATTATGTTTTTTTTTCTTTTTCTTTTTCGCATCTTATCTCAACTGTGACCAGGTGTGGATTTTAAAATCAAATATCTAACAGTTGGGGGCAAAAAATTGAAGCTAACCATTTGGGACACTGGTAATAAGTTGCCATAAATATCTATTTATATTTTTTTTTCATCTTATTTTCCAAATGAGAATTCAATTTCTTGTTTTAATAGGGCTTTCATGGTTACAGTCATTACATGATCATCATTCAGTTGTCTTTGTGTTGTTGGTTATATATTATTCACACCATTTGATTAAACAAAGATCTCTCTTTTGTGCTATGTTGTTTGAAATGTTTGATGTTTTTTTTTCTTTTTTATTTTTTTTCCCTTTTTGTTCTTTTTGAATAAGAATGAAGGCTAGAAAAGGGAAACATTCATTGGATCGGACTGAAGTGGAATGGAAATGAATGACTGAACAAACTATTTTCCCATCGCATACAAGGCTAGAACCATATTCGAAAAAAAATGTGACAATATTATTACCCATTGTCAAACAATCATTAATAAATTGAGCACTTATACCCCAGATGGGTTAAACTCAAATTCACGTGATGGTGAGGTATATCCAAAAAATTGCAATTTATAGCTTCTTTCATATAATCTGTTAAACCCACTAAACCTAACCCATTACTACCTACCACACACACTCACCTCCTCACCTAACCTACCACTACCACCTCCACTTCATCCCCTACCACTTCACCTACTGCCTTCTTCTCTTCTATATATTTGATCATTGTAAACACAACAATAACAATCAATATATACATACAATTTATTTTCTCTCTATCAATTTATCTTACATAATCAAATGCTATGTTCATTCTGTTGGTTCTCATCCCCCTCCTCGTAAGAGACAAAAGTAGTTTAGATTTGGAAATCCAAAACTCTTTATCAGAATCGCCAAAAGGAGATGGGGAAAGAAACACATTGATGACGATGACGATGATGAGAGAGAGAGAGAGAGAGCATACATGTGTGGAGTGTTCATACAATATTTAAGGTTGTGCACCGCAACATTCATTGACACATTGAAAATGTGAATTTTTTTTTTTTTTTTTCTGTAGACAAATTGTGATCGGTTTCTAAACTCGGTGTTATATGTTGCAGCTGGACAAGAGAGGTACAGGACATTGATAAGCTCTTACTATAGATCAGCCCAAGGGATTCTTCTTGGTAAAGCCGTCAACCATATAATATTGTAGAGATGCAAGGCAAAGTTTATTTTCTAGAATTAGTTTTTTATTTTCTTGAATTAGTTGACAACAACTCATCCTCTTGTAAAGATTTAGCTTATGTAATTTATTTTAAAATTTTTTTGACTGCTTTTATCCTCCCACGATTTTCGTTAATTGAATTAACACAATTCTCCTTCCTTGATCCACAGTTTATGATGTAACACGGAGGGAAACCTTTACAAACTTGTCGGATGTATGGACTAAAGAAGTAGATCTTTACTCCACCAATAAGAATTGCATTAAGATGCTTGTTGGAAATAAAGTTGACAAAGTAAGGTTTTGTTTTGTTGTTGATAAGTTACATCTGATGTTTATATGCTTATGTCCTTAGTAAGGAAGATTGTAATCGTTAAAATGGAAAGGAAAAGTGGACCCAATGTACATGACAACTACTAAAAGTATTCTCAGGTCTCGTTTGAGAACAAACTATTTTAATAACTTTTTGATTTTTTACGAAAAGATATGCAAAAAAGTAGAGAGTGATGTGATAACTTGTTGATGGAAACTTAGAGGATCTAATTGTTGTTGGTGGAGCCTAAAACAAGACTAAATCTCCTCTTAGTTTAAGTTTTGGTTTCCTTATTAATTTAGGATTGGGTTTAAGGCTAGTTCTACAAATATACCCATGTAGCTCTATGTTTTTTAATTCTTTCATTAGTTTTGTGATCTTAGAGAGATACATAGTAGCGAGAGTGAGATAGATCATTGTAGAGAGAGAGTTTGTGAGATTGAGTGTGAGAGACTCTTATAACTCCTTTCATATTAATCTTGGTAAATCCGTAGTAACTCAGTGGACGTAGCATGTGATTTGGGTGAACCATGTAAAATCTCGTGTTGCTTTTGTAGTTCTTTTACTTCTCTGTTCTAGATTCGTTATGTGTAATTGTTTGCTTGGGTCCTAGTGTTTAATATTGATCATATACCATAACAAATGGTATCAAAGCATTGGTTCCTAGAGCAAGAAAAAATCATGGTGACTCTTAATTGAGTAAAGAAAATTCCTAGTGCATGTGGCAAGGTTGGACTGCAGCAAGGTGGCTCTCAATGGTGTATGGTGGCTCACGATGGAGTGTGCGAGTGGTCTAGGTTGGATTCGATGTTGGAGAGTTATAGATCAAGATTTTGGAGTGCGTAATTATCTATGATGAACTTGCGGATGATAGATCAAGACTTGAGGGGACTCAATATTTGGTTCACACATGAAGAGGAGATTATTGGAGCATGTGTGAAGATAGAGTCTCACATCAGACAAAGAGTAAAATGATATGAGTTTTAATATACATTAAATAAGCTTTTCACTTGCAGGCTTAAACTTTTAAGTAAGTATGAGTTCCAAATAATATATGTTGAGCCTTGATGTGGCATCTCTAGACTCTAGAGTTTCTCCATATTGGATTGAGCCAATATTGCTGTGCGCTTGTGGGCTCCCTGGTGGGCTCACTAATTCCCTAGCACTAATTATGATTACTCGTCTCTAGCATAACCTGTTTTATAGTCTATAATAATTTCTCCCTCAATCATATTAATTTCACTTTTTATTCACATTTTATGAATTTAAATTCATTCGATGCATGATTACAGGATCAGAAAGGGTTGTAAGTAGAGAAGAAGGAATTGAACTTGCAAAACCGCTTGGATGTTTATTTTATGAATGCAGTGCTAAAACTAAAAAAAATGTGGATCAATGCTTTCAAGAGCTTGCTTTAAAGGTAAGGAAGGATTTTAATAAATAAATTTACCTTTTACATTTACCTTTCTTGTGGAACAAGATGAATAAAGTAAATTTATCTTCCCTTTTCTCGTACTATATCGTACTATGGTGTGTGTTTTGTTGTTATATTGTGGCAGACATATTCATGTGCTGCCCATGTTGTAGTCACATTGCCAAGTATGGAGTTGTTCTAACCAATGGAAGAGTTTATATTGCCAATGTCGCCATGTATGCAGGGGATGATAGACTGGGCATTTGTATGTCCAAAGTCTCGAGTTTGAGTTATGCTAAGGTCCTTAAGGTTTGCTTGGTAGTTACCTTCAGGGTCTTAAGATTAGTTGAGATGCGCGCAAGTTGGCTTGGCATCCATTTATCAAAAAACCAATGCAGAGTTTGGAAATTCTAACTATTGGAAGAGCTTATATTCCAATATGTTAGGTATATACTAGTCATTTGCATGAATAACAATGCAGAATTAGGAAAATGGGAATGGTATTAGTCCAATAATTATTCTACACACTGGGATTGAATTTGAACAATCCCTCTTCATTGATTATGACTAAGTGTCAAGTATAGCATGGATTCTTACACTAACACATATATGGGAAGTTCAAAATCACCCTAACTACTTATCAACCTCGTATAAAACATGAACAACAGTATGCTACTGTTAAATAGATGATATTTATGTTGATTGATATCGTAAAAGTACATTTTCTGTCCCACATTCTACCCTCATTTTGGTTTTTCTACAGATCATGAAAGGCCCTGGTCTCGAGAAAGAAGAATCTCCCGGAGTGAAACTTGAGAAAGAAGAATCTCCCGGAGTGAAACTTGATGGCAGTGGCGGTGGGGGTAGCAGTGGCGGTGGTGGTGGCAATGGTGGTGGTGGTGGCGGCGGGGGTAGCAGTGGCGGTGGCGGTGGCGGTGGCGGTGGCGGTAGCGGTAGCAGTGGCGGTGGCGGTGGCGGTTGTTGTTCATAAAATGACACAACAGAGGTTGTGAGACATAATATGTATATCATACAGAGGCCCTCACCAAGCAGCATTGCTAATGGCAGACAGAGCTTGTCACTAAACCTTTCATGATCAAATTATGTATAGTTGTCCCAGTAGCTGTTCTGGGAGTATTGGCACTCAAATAAAATCTATTAGCTTGTGTAAAGTTTGCTTCTTCTTCTTCTTTTTTTTTTTTTTAATCCTCACAAGCTTTATGGAAACAAACTTTCACGTATTTTATCTAAATTAATGCGAGTTTTTCACTTTGTGCTTTGAGTAGTATTTTATTTTTCAATACAGCTTTTTATTCTTCTTTGGTAATTTTTACTCTTCAATGCAGCAGTAAATTAATTTTATTAATTTGCTAATTGCAAGATTGACAAGAAGCAAAAAAATTGGTGGATCATCTACCTGCTTCGCTTGGAAGTCCAGTATTCAAATTTCAATCCAACCATTGTGTGTTGGTGACCTGAATGGTTGGCACCAATGCAGATAAACAGCCAATCTTCATTTCATCTCCCGGATCAATGGTGAAAGCATTTGAACCAAAACCCTACCCAAGGTGTCCCTTTTTCATAGATGGTTTCTACTTTTGCTTTTGTTTTCTAAAATATTATTGTAATACCCTGGCTCACTTTTGAAGAAAACCATGATAAGATCAAGTTTACAGGCTGGCTAAAAAAAGGGACCTAGATCACATATTCATATACTTTAAATTCAAAAGAGGCAATTGCTTTTGTCTCTCTATAGTCAACAATGATTTGTACAAGAATTATGCACCTCCCAAATCTACATAATTATCTTGAAAAGCAAAGAATATTGTCATCTACTACCACTAAACCAAATCAAGATCAATTCTAACAGAATATGGAAAATGAGATTATATATAGATAGATAGATCTTAAGGGTGAAAGTATCCAGAAGGTAACAATACAAGCAAAAGCCCATTCCCGGTCGTGATTTGTGCAGGCTGCTTCCCAACAGACTGAGGACAAAGTAAGCACCAGGGATTTTAAAAGAAGAATTGTTTGGTGGGCATTCAGTTGAAGCCTTACCTGCATCGGGTTTACTGAGTTTGATGCTTGGAGGCTGCATATAAAAAACAGACAAAGCAACAAACATGGTCTTTTGAGTATGGATCATTACAAGAAAAGTAAAAAATCATATACATCTATAAACAGTGGCGGAGAATTTTTGCAGAGGGGGGTGGGGTAAAGCCAAGGCAAGGGATTGATTCTGACTGATTTAGTTTAATTTAGTCAAGATATATTCAAACAAAAATACTTTTCATAGCATTGACTCAAAAAACTAAAAAATGAAAACACATCATTTCAGTCAATCTGAAGTGATTTATAGATTTTATTGCAAAATAAACATTGAAGGGGTAAGCTACGGGATTTTATTTGTTGAAAACCTTAATGATTTTATTTGTACCTAAAATAAGTTGACAGAAGACAAGTACACTCATGTTAATATCATCAGAAGAAATGAACAAAAGAAATGCATTCAATGATTATGAAAATAAAATGGAATAATTTTTTTCAATGTTGTTTCTTAAAAACTCCAAAGCTTAATTTAACGTGTGTGTTAAAAATTATATTTCAAAAATGGTTTCAAATATATATTTTTATTCAATTTTAAATTCAATATGTATTGCATTCTTATTGTGTTAATACTTATGGTTCTCTTTTCATGCATATTTTGACTACTTATCTAATCTCTCATTATGTAGGCAGATTGAAATTGATAGTAAATTTTTGGAAGCAGAGCACATCATGGATTACAGCCTTCTGATAGGCGTCCATTATTGAGCCCCTCAACACCTGCGATCTCGTATGCCTTTCAATCGAAGTGTAACAGCAGATGGATTGGGAATTGTTGCAGAAGAAGGTAAGCTTCATGTCGAACAACTGATTTTCTTCAGTAATTGAATATGTTGATGTTTGGAATTCCTTAATGTTAGCCGAAAAGAAACAAAAACAAAAAAACTTCCTGAATGTTAAAATGTATCAAGCATTGAATTGAAAAAAAATAATTTCTGATACTGAAATTGTATAAGAATGCAAATGTAACTTTGTCATCTATTGTTGGGATGATTCAATCAGAACCTATAGAGGACGAGATCTCCAACTACCCGCAAGGCCTTGTTTTGGTCCCTCATGGAGCTGATGATAATAGTTTTATCGTGGGTCCTCATATCAGAGGTAGCCGATTGAGAGCTGCATCTGCTACTGGTGATGAGGAAGTGGATCTTCTTCTTCCGGGAACAGCAAGGTATGATCATTAAACTAGAAGAGAATCCTTGTTAATTTGTGCCAAAGCTTCGGCAGAAAGCATGAATGATCGATTCACTTTTCACAATTAACTGATGTAGGTAAAGCACCAAAATGACTAAACCTACATGTTTGAACAATTGTTATGATTGTTCTGTGGTAAGACACAAAAATTTTTGCCATATTTTTCAAGAACACATAGAAATTGATTTTGGTTTTGGTTTTTCCTCATATCTGGTTAAGCAGACTCCAAATCCAGCTTGGAGTGAACATGCCAGCAAGAGCAGAGCATATTCCAGGGAAAGAGGAAAAAGAGATGTTTCATGAAGTATATGATGTCGTATTGTACCTTGGTATCATCGACATATTGCAGGACTACAACATGAGTAAGAAGATTGAGCATGCATACAAGTCTATTCAATTCGATTCTGTGTCAATATCTGCAGTGGATCCTACATTCTACTCTCAGCGCCTTTTAGAATTTATTCAGAAGGTGTTCCCGCCAAATGTTGTAGTGAGTTAAAAAGACCACCCCGGATTGTAACTTATTTCTGCCACTGGTGAGGGTTGCCGTTGACCCTTTCTGCTTGACATGATGGTTCCGACATTTCAAAAACCACAATGGAATTCTGTTACCAGGGTTACTTAAAAGGGGAAGAAGGTCTCCGCTGCTGTATGCTTTACAAATATGAAAGCTAGTGTTCTCTTGTTGAGAGTGCATAAAAAATGTCTAGGCTTTCAATTTTTTTTTTCTCCTGTGATTGTGTGCAGCTTGTTATAACAGATATAATGATACACTAAAAATTCTTATGCTGGCCCGGGCATTTTATCAGTATCATATTGCTTTTTAAGTGCTACGTAACATACTTCTGGATTTTTTGGTCAAGTTATCTCTGTTGATGGAACACTGAACACAAGGCACTGCCTTGCTTCCATTTAAAACTAATGAAGAACTGTACATCCCAGTACCACCACTTGGCTATGAAGGCTGAAGGTTCTATTCTCAACATTGATTCGAGTTTTCTGATTCTGCCAACTTCAGTGAAAAAAATTTAATTGATTTGTTTCTTGTTTATTGCTTTGTGCAACCTTCTTCTGCCCAAAATTGAAGGTCTCGTTTTGGATACTTGCCAAAGTGTAAAGTGTGTGGGTGCTAGTTAATACTCTTCATTAGCCCGCCAAGCTACCACAAGTGTTTGCATAGGCAGCCAGTAAACGCAATAAGTTATAGTTGCTGGGCCGCAAAGTTGAAGACAAAGCTAAAATACGGCAAACTAGCTAAAGCAATGTAAAGCAACAAACATGACCATAAGGATTGCAGACCCTAAACCCCCCCCCCAAAAAAAAAAAAAAAAAACCATTAAAAATCTTAGAGTTGGACCGTTATAACAAAATAAATATTTAATTTTTAATTTTATTAATTTAAACTCTAATCTTTTAATTTTTTTTTAATTTAAATTATTTGTCTACTTTTGTTAAGTAAAATTGACAAAAAAAAATAATATTTTAGTTATTAAACTTAACAAAAAATGATATTTTAAACTTTTATGTGAACTTACATTTATTTTAATGGCTAAAATACTACTTTTTTGTCAGCTTTAATTAATGAAAATAAACAAATGGTTTAAATTGAAAACAAATCAAAAGATTAAAATTTAAATTAACAAGATTAAAAATTCAATGTTTATTTTTTTATAAAGATCAAACCCTGAGATTTATCTGTAATTTGCCCTATATTTTTTTTATGTCACTAGTTGACGGGTAATTCTATTTTCATACACTAATTCCTTTTACTGTACACATTGAATGAATACCTTCTCAGTACATACATTAAAAAAATAAAAAATATTAGTATACATCTTTTTATTTTAGGAAAAATTACAAATACACCCCCTGAGGTTTGTTTAAAGTACAGATTGCCCATTGTGGTTTGAAAAATTACAAGCATCCTCTTGTTAAATTTTTTTTATTTAAAAGAATTAACTAAAAAAATAAAATTCATAATTGTTCTCCTATACAATAATAAAATTACCTAAATTGTTAATTAAAACATATTTCTAATATCATTAAAAACTGTTAATTGATTTGATGATTTATTAATAAAATGGGCAATTTGTTATGAAATTAGAGATCTCGGGGGGTTGAATGTAATTTTCAGAACTACAGGGCGCGATTTGTATTTTAATCAAATATCAGCGGGTGTATTTGTAATTTATCCTTTATTTTAATAATATTTTCATTTTCAATTTCAAAATCTTAGTTTTTCTTGTATCAACCCACTCCACCTTCACCACTGTTGCCGCAACTCTTAACCCTCCATCGCCATTACCGCTACCACTCTCAACCCACTTACCACCACCACTTCCAGCCATCTCTTTCTATCCTAGACCTCTACAGTCAATCTAAAAAGTGGATAGTTTGTGACAGAGGCTAGTGGAAGTATATGATTCATGGCAAAAGGTGGTCGCAAGCGGAGGGGAAAAAAAACAAAGCAATGGTAGGGGCTAATAGAAGAGTAGTGGGGCTGACAATATGGAGGATGGTTGTGACGTTTTAGAATTAAGGTTTGCATGAAAAAAGATAAGATTATTATAGTATTTTTATTTTAAAACAAAATTATATTGAAAACAAATTACATTAAGGTTATGTTTTGTTGGAGAATTTGATGAGAGAAATGAAAAAAAATAAAAATAAAATACAATTCTACTTTTTATTTGGTTATAATGGAAAACACAAGAGAAGAAAAAGTGAGCAAAAAATATAATCCCACTTTTTGTCTTTTAAATTCATTTTCCAACTCAATCACATATAATTTGAAATTTGAATCCTATCAATTTTTTCACATTTTCATTCAATTTCTTTTTTCTGTCAATTTTTTCAACTAAACATAATTTTAAGTGTGTGTAAACTGAATGGGTGTATTTGATTGGACGGACTGGATAAGGAGGAATTAGAATCCATCGGACTTGAGTCCTGGGACTGCGAATCCCCCGGACTATTTGATTGGATTGGATATGTATCCTGGGTTTGTTTTGTCATGTGATTAGATGTTTAGAAAGGACTATTTTTAGTGAATCCAACTTTAGTTGGACGGACTAGATAGGATAAATGAACAAAAGACTATTTTACCATTTTTCAATTATTTACTAAGTAATAGCAATATTAAACATATCTTTAATATTTTAATTATTTTTAGCTAGGTTAAATAAAAATTTATTTTATTTTATTTTTTACACAATTAAATAAATTTATTTTTTTTTAAATTAAGTAAATAAAATATCAAAAATATATGTTATTTTTTTAATTAAAATTTTAAATAAATTTGTTTTTAAAAAAAATAATAATTAAACAATGAAATTAAATAAAACTTCTATTAACATTTAAATAATGAAATTAAATAAAATATAAACAAAATTTTAAAATAAAACATCAATAAAAAGTTAAAAAAAATTATTTTATTTTTAAATTGAAACATTTAAATTTTATTGAATTTTACTAAATATAATATATAATTAAATAGTAGAGGGTCAAAATAGTCATTTTACCACCTAATCCCAACAGTAAATTGTCCCCCCAAAACTGTCTCCCCCCCCCCCGGGATAGTATAATTCCCCATATGGGGAATAAGGAGTCCGGCCGCACTCCATGTCTGGCGGACTAAAAAAAAAAGAGATTTTTGGTGTAAAGCCCCTCCCATTGTGCCTATTTTGTGTGAAACCCACAGAATAAAACAATGAGCCCAAAAGCCCCTCAATTAAAAAAATATTATGAATTGATTGAAATGTCCTTCCGTATAAGTAGGGAGATATGAAACAATCGCATCGTTTTTCTTCCCTTGCTCTGTTTCATCGTTTGACAACCCTCCTCTGAGTATCCTCATTCGAAAACCCTAGCCTCATTCGAAAACCCTTCTCTGAGTCTCATTATTCTAGCTCTCTAGAGCTACTTTGTCTTTCTACCCCTGGAACATTACAGGTTCGTCGCTTGGGCTTGAATCAAACTCCGCATTACGCTTTAGTCTCTCTCTTGGACACACATTTTGCAGGTAATTTTTTCCCTTTTCGATGTTATAAAGTCTGTCTGGGTACTAGTGTATGAGATTACGTTTTCATTTTGTTTTCATTTTGCGAGTTTTTTAAGGATTTTTTTTTTCTTTTTTTTTTTTCATTGTCGCATTAGGGTGAGTAGAGTTTGGGATTTTGGGTTACACTAAGGATCATCTGTTCTAAAATTTTTATCACTATCTTAAAATACTTTAAATTACTAAATCATGTGAGAATGTTAAGGTTTAAAAATTTTGAAAACTAATTTAGGTATTTTCAGAATGGTGTATGCAGTTTTGCAGGAATTTCGTTGCTTTGATTTCTATAGTGTTTTGGTCCTGCAATTTCAATGATTTCGATTCACTTGTTTCATGAATTTTTCAGAGTAAAATTTTACTTCCAACCAGAGTAAAATTTTACTTTAAATCTAGCCCTTGCTCATTACATAAATATGAATGTGATTGTAGTTTCGTCATTTCTCTAATTTCGGTTTGAATGTAAATTGTACATGTTAATTTCAAAACTGTGTTGCGTATAGTCAAAATTGAGATAAGGTTTTGTTGATTCTTGGTTCTATAAATTTTATATGTGTTTTTGGTTTATTTCCTAGGGCATATTGTTCAGAGTAAAATTTTACTTCTAATCAGAGTAAAATTTTACTTTCAATAAAAGTAAAGTTTTACCAAACAAAGTAAAACTTTACTGTCTCATTGAATGTGTTTTAGTCTTGCAATTTCAATGCTTTCAATTGCTTCATGAATTTTTCAGAGTAAAATTTTACTTCCAACCAAAGTAAAATTTTACTTAAACTCTAGTCTTTGCTCATTACATAAATGTGCATATCAATTTGTATGTGTTTTGGTCCATATAAATGTGCATATCTATTTATGTATGTAAATGTGATTGTAGTTTCGTCATTTCTCTGATTTCGGTTTGAAGTAAAACTTTACTGTCTCATTGAATGTGTTTTGGTCCTGCAATTTCAATGCTTTTAATTGCTTCATGATTTTTTCAGAGTAAAATTTTACTTTAACTCTAGGCTTTGCTCATTACATAAATGTACATATCAATTTGTATATATATATATATATATATGTATGTACCTATTTATGTATGTGAATGTGATTGTAGTTTCGTCATTTCTTTGATTTCGGTTTGAATGTGAATTGTACATGTTAATTTCAAAACTATGTTGCGTATAGTCAAAATTAAGACAAGGTTTTGTTGATTCTTGGTTCTATAAATTTTGCATGTGTTTTTGGTTTATTTCCTAGGGTATATTGTTCAGAGTAAAATTTTACTTCCAATCAGAGTAAAATTTTACTTTCAATAAAAGTAAAGTTTTACTGCCAAACAAAGTAAAACTTTACTGTCTCATTACAATGCTTGTGCATTTTCTTTAGTGCTTATTTGTTTTGTCACTTTGTTGTTTAAACTAAAATGTTACACTACTGATATAGGGAAACTTTTTACTGTTTTAAAATGGTTGTTACAAGAAGCAAATGTGGTGATGATGGTGATTTTGAAGTTCTACCAACTGTTATACAAAAGAAGAAAGTCCCTAAAAAAAAAGGCAAAAGTAGTAAAGAAGTTCAGTCCAATGCTAGTGATGATGAAAGTTGTATGCCTTCAACAACAAAACCTTCGAAATTGAATGTTGTACATGGAGTACGAGAGAGGGAGAACTATGTGAAACAATATAGGTCAAATACTGTTTCACTGATAAACATAATGCGAGGCACGAGGTTCACTGAAAGACATATTAGTATCCTCAAGAGAACACCTTTTGGGATGTTGTTTAAATCTTTTTGGAA